CGTTCGCCATATTCTTATTTCTTGTCCGCGCCTCGCGGAAGAACGCCAACGCTATTTTGGACAGCATGACTTGCCCCTTACCATCTGTGATATGCTAGGAGATAAATCACCATTTCTGGAATTTCAACAGATCTTTTTGTTTCCCAAACACATCAACTTTGGGACCATTTATGCGGCTCATTAGATAGGTAAAACCAAACTCGTTATGGGCGCCAAATGGCCACCGCAGTCGGCGCGCCCCTAAACTCCAATAAACAACAATGAGTAATTTTTGGGACTTCTCATAGGCCCTTCACTTTCGCTTACAACTGTTCTTGGTCGCCTGAACGTCCAGTGACACCGTTTTGTTGCGTTTTGTGTTAAAAAACCACCTGTTCGGCCGGCTGTCGGTCCCCCGCAGCCAATGGGCCCTTTCGTGGCCCAGGGAGGGGGGGGGGGGCATGCCCCGTGGCCCCCTCTCTGGACCCGCCCCTGCTTGCTACCGTATGTTTTGGGGGATACTTTGTTATTTTCCACTTTTTTGCCCCTCCCCCGAACTCAGTTCGTCCTTGATGTCGGAGTGTCGTGATGTCGGACTGTCTTGGAGTCACAACCTTCAGACTCTGCTCCAGATCAAGGCGTGGCTGGAGATGTCTTCTCCTCAGGACCTTCTAGCCAGAACGCAGCTAGAGATACCCGCCCCGTCTCCTCCGTAGGCAGCTCCAGGCAGGATGTGGCTACAGAAGCGCGCTCCGTCTCCTCAGGACCTTCTAGCCAGAGCGCAGCTGGAGATACCCGCCCCGTCTCTTCCGCGGGCAGCTCCAGGCAGGGTGTGACTACTGAAGCGCCCCCCGCCTCCTCAGGACCTTCTAGCCAGAGCGCAGCTGGAGATACCCGCCCCGTCTCCTCCGCAGACAGCTCCAGGCAAAGTGTGGCTACAGAGGTGCGCCCCGTCTCCTCAGTACCTTCTAGCCAGACCGCAGCTAGGGATACCCGTCCCGTCTCCTCCGCAGGCAGCTCAAGGCAGGGTGTGGCTACAGAGGCGCGCTCCGTTTTCTCCTCAGGATGTTCTAGCCAGGGTGAGGCCGAGGAGGGCCGCCAGGTCCCTTTCGCTGGCGGTTCCGAACAGGTCCCTTTTGGTGCTGGTTCTGTCTATGTCACAGATCGAGGCATGCGGAGGCGACTGGGGCATGTCGCCGAACTGGAACATCTGAAGGAACCTGCCAAGATCACCAAGAACAAGGGTCGACCGCGCGGAAGTACGGCAACCAACGTCATCGGACTGCCAAAACTGAAACGAAGAACTCTGAAGACCTGACCAGGTCTGCTTTTTTACGAAAAGCAGAATGGTGTTACACAGTTTCGCCGTTGATGGCTCATCGCACTTGCGATAGCTGCGATGCGACGGCTTACAATTGGGATATTGCATGTCAAGTGATGGTTTACACCTCCTCTTTCGCTCTCTCGCCTTCGCGGTCTCGCCCTCGCTCTATCACTCTATAGATCCATATTGCTCTTTATCGCTCTATTGCTCTTCCGCCTTCTCTCTCTCCCTCTCTCTCTCTCTCTCTCCCTCTCTCTCTCCTCTACCTCTCTCTCTCTCCCTCTCTCTCTCTCTCTCTCTCTCTCTCTCTCTCTCTCTCTCTCTCTCTCTCTCTCTCTCTATCTCTCCTCTCTCTCTCTCTCTCTCTCTCTCTCTCTCTCTCTCTCTCTCTCTCCCCCTCCCTCCCTCCCTCCCTCCCTCCTCTCTTTCTCTCTCTGCTTGTCAACAGTGAGTGTATTACCAACAGTGCAGGCCGATCTGTGGCTTCGAGTTGACCGGCACTCGCCTGCGAGCTTAAAACATAGCTGCGCCCTCTTCAGCGTATAAGGATTTGTTCTGCGGGACCTACAGCGGACAGAAACGTGCGACGAAGCACCTGGTGAAGGCGTTTGCAAAGGGTCATGTCATCCCGACACCGTCCGGCACGAAGGCCCATTAATTCGACGGGAAACGGCCCATGCCACGATTCCTAGGTATGCAATACGCTTTGACTTTAAACGAGAAAGACTGAGCCGTGAAGAGCATAGAGGTCGCAACGTACTGCACTGTAACTGGCATTGAGATGAAACACAGGCGCACTTTTCGTGATACTTCGGGCACCATGTACTTAAAGTATGCACAGGTGCGAGGTCCCGCATGTCGTCGATGATAATTCTCGGGCGCCATGCCCAAGGGCAGCCCATTTTGAGGTGAAGCTATTGAAACGGAGGCCCGCGCACGCTACATGTCAGTTCACTGCTGCCTGCAAAGAATCAGAGACTAATGCTGCAACGCAGCAAAGAAATCTAGTTGCACAATTTTACATGGGTTACTGGCTTCGTATGTTTTAGTCTTGGGTCATCTCTTCCACCGCAGCGTTCACTTCTGCTATCATCTCGCGCATTCCGTGGTGCAAAATACATCTTACTGGCCCTTGTTGCAGCCATGCTACGCTGGATTCTCAAGAACTTATCGGAGGAAGGTCTGTTCGGTGAAAGGGACGTACGGGCCTGGAATGTCATCCACCTCGGCAGGCTGAAAGCGAATCCAGATGTACTGCTTTCTCTGGGACATCGCTTCACCCGATCTGCGTGGAAGATGCTCCTGGCTGGGGTGGACCAGTTCGATGAAGAACGTGATTGGTTGTGTGTTTGTGGGGAGGACCACCTGGTTGGTGCCTCAGTGCAATGTGGTGTGCGTGAAATGTGGTTCAGCACGCGCTGTTCTGTTGGTTATGTTAGGGATGTGGGTGCATGTATATGTTCACTGTGCAGGTAGTGGTAGTTTCCCCCAGAGCACAGGCTGCCTTGAGTGGCGAGTGAAAAGTTCAGCCGTCTTCTTTCGGACTTACAGAATTGGTACATTGTTTTAAGGTGGCCATATCAGATGCAGCACGACGACCTGCCCTAGCCGTTGGTAGGTCGTCATGGATCTGTGAATGCCATGGCAGCATGGGTGCACTTGTGTTTGGGGGCAGCATATTGGTTAATTATGCGTATCTGTACATAGTTACATTATAGTGGGTCGATGAACAGTTATTTTCTTTTGGCACCAAACATGATGTCGTGTTCGGATGTGGTGTCATGTCATGTCCCTGACTTGCTGCGACGCGACTGACCAGCAGTGGGGGATGCGTGACGTTAGCTGTCATTTCCGTTTAATATACGTGTTTTATACATTATGCTTTACATATGCATTTTATAAATTATTATTTACTAGCTTTTATGATACCTTTGATACAATTGGACTCATACAGCAAGTTATGAAGCCTGGACCTCAAAGCATGCAATGGAACAGCTACAAAAATGTCATCTGATCACCTTCATGGAAATTATGTATCCATCACATAATGTGCTTACATGCACTCATGTACCTAAGGAAGATGACATGATGATGAGAAATTGATGTGACATGGGATTCAGTCCCCAAAACAACCATAATATGCAATCAGATGAGATTGCAACCTACTCCTAAACATAAATATTCACAGCATTATGTTTGCAACCTGTCATCTGTACTGCTCATATTTCATGCCTCAAGATGATTTCAAACAAAAAATAAAAGAGGCTAGTTATGTGAGCAATGTCTGGATTAATTGAGGAGATGCATCAGCTTTACAACATGCAACAATAATGTGGTATATTTTGTATCACCAGGTTAATACATATCTTCAAAAATGCAGCTGTAGAAACACAACACACACAATCAAGCATCATGCAAGGCAGCAGGCAAAGCACTCAACTCCCTGCAAGTAGCGGCCAAATGCTGCCTTTCACTAAAATCATGGAGAAAAAACCTGTGCCTTTAACATGACCAATAGGTTAACAAATGACTACCACACGCGCAAACAGCATCATGTACAATACACTTCTTTAGCTTTCGTGCATACCACACAAAAGCTTCAAACACATAATTAAATCCAACATGCACCGCCCCAATCCCCCACAAAGCAGTCGATAAGTCCAACTGAGAAATAGCAAGCGACACGCAGCGACGTGAGTCAAGGTTGGTGAACTCATTTTATCTCTTCCGCGCCGCGCATTTGGCACTTAGCAAAAATGAACAAAAATGTGCGCAAAAATGAAGTGGCAATACACAGGAATGACAGGATTTGTCTTCTAGGATTTGCGGTGTACGTAGGGGCGGTGCGCATATCCTTTCCCAGGTTTTTGGAGGGCGCATAAGCCCGGTACGCTGCCACCTTCTATTTTGGAGGGTGTGTAAACCCGGTGCGTGACCACCCTCCGTTTTGGAGGGTGCATAAGCCCGGTGCGTAACCACCCTACGTTTTGGAGGGTGTATACGCACAGCCATTATAATATTGTGAGATGGTAATTTCTTGGAGATGATAGGCAATCATGCGAGCATTGTGAGTAGCAATGGTCGAAACGACGAAATGAATATTGCTAACTGCCTCTTCATGATTTTTGGTGCCGCAGACGTCCTCTGGGTTGTATGATTTCAAAGTTGGGCAATTCTGCTAACGCGAGCTGACTGTGCCCGTCTCGTACTGCGCGCAAACGCTCGCGGTGATCTTTCTTCTTCCAAAAAGGTAAAGTACTTGAGGAATCCCAGATTGTGACTAGGCATTGGCATGACGGGTGGAATGATCGTTTGGACTGTTGTCCTCGTGTGGTGTGATAGTATTGCCAACAAAACATTCCAGCCAGCTAACTTACTAGTGTAGGTGTACTTTGCTACCTAAGGCTAGAAAAAAATAATTGTTCACCATTCGTCGTGTTTAAGGCGGAACATATCGTAAATAATCTCAAAACAGGTATAATCATGCTCCTGCCTTCGAATTTCCATAAATACGATAGCGAGCTCCCGAGCGCCGCACGCACCACACCGTCACCGCCTCGACTCCCCAGCGCCGTTTCTGCGTTGCTGCGTAAGTACAATATTTCTGCTTATCAAGAACCATAAAAAATTACGGGACCAAGGTTGTTGTGACTGAGCGCATTAATGGCGCCGGTGTCGCGGCTGATGTGTGTGTGTAGCGCTCGGGAGCTCGCCATCGTAATTATAAAAAAATAGAAGGTAAGAGCATGAATCTACCGGTTTTGTGATTATTTACGATATGTCCTGCCCTAAACACGACGAACGGTGTACAATGATTGTTTCTAACGTTAGGTAGGAAAGTACACCCTGACCTGTGTTTGTAGAAACTGTAACATGCAGTTGGTGGTTGTGGCCTGGGAAGCACTCAAGGGCAGAGGGCCTGAACAACTATTCATTTGAACACTGTGGGTGCGCAGGTGTGAGACAATGTTTTACATCAACAACATGTCCTGTTAACTGACAACATTGGGTATTCTAGGCCTCCCAGTTCAGGCTTTGCCACAGTTGATTGGCTGCATCGTAAAACATTACTCTCTGAACAACAGGTCACATGTAAGATGTAAAACATTTGATAATGAGGTGTGTCAAGGTCTAATGCTTAGGGAATACAGTATGGTAAGTATTGTGGCATGCTGGCAGGTTCATTTGACAAGGGGTTGTTATACTGTTCACTCATTTTATGTTCAAAATGGTATTAATGCTGAGCTGGGGGCAAATAGCAGAAGATTTGCATACTGACCACCATGTGGCCTGAGTGTGGGATCATATCTTAAAACTATGCCTGTGTTGCTTTTTGTGGATGGCTTATTGGCAAATTACCAAGAGAGCCAAGTTGAAATAGGATGGCATTGCATGATGCATCAACTTAGGCAAAAAATTGTTTGTTGAGTCAAACTATGCTGCTGGCTGGCTGGGTCTTCATTTTCATAATAGGTTGTACTGGCAAAGCATGTTAAACTCATCCCTTGATGACTTGACCAACTTTCTAAGCAAATATTCTTCCTTACTTCATCTATGTTTTCATATTGTTCATCTCCCTTTATTTGTTTCTATTGGTTTGTTTAATCCAGCTGATGTGTACTGAATATTTTGATTAATAAATCATCAGTTTGATGTTTTATACTAACACTGAGTTAATCACCCCAGCATTCATTTTTTGATCAGTCTGAAAGTGTAAGCCTGCTGTGTTTTCTTAGCCAGTCAGTTATAATGGTTGTCAATAAATCATTGAGTTATACAGCATTAGAACTAAAAGCTGAATCCAGCACTGTAGGTACAGACAGTTTTTGGAGGTTGGGTATGGCAGCAATAAGCCTGGTTCCATTTCACCTCACACTACTCAGTAGTGCAGTAGTGACTACTGCATGGACAGCAACAGTTTTTCCCAAAGCAGGATGATTTTGGTCTTCCTTTATTCCCATGCCCAGTGCCCATGGTGTTTGTGTCAACACATGCAATATGTATGTCTATTTTCACATGCAGCTTAAGGACATCTTGGCCTCTCAGCATAGGGGTTTGGGTAGGCAAGCTCTGTGAAGCATTGGGGTTTGGGCAGGCAATCTCTGTGAAGCATTGGGTGTTTTTGATAGGACTCTGAGAATCCATATCATTGGCCACCTGATTTCCTTCGCATTTTGCCATGTCCTATGGTATTTCTAAACTCATACCTGTGGCACCATGTTTTATGGCAACATGATACATGTTAGGTGCATTCCTTGTTTAATTCTGAGTACAGTGGTGTATATTTGTGTATGTTTTCAACATCCATTTATGATAAATGGCTTCATTATTGAAACACCATTGGTCTGCTATGTGCGTTCCATGCAACCGTCGGTTACCGTCCGCTGCCCGCGTCGGCCCTCGATTGCCGCACAGTGGTCCTCAACAACCACCACTGCTCGGAAACCAGAAAAGCTAGAAACATGGTTTTTGGTATCAGGATATGGAATGGATGTTTCATAGGTTGTAAAAACGTGGGCACGATTGCACAGAATGCCTGAGGGATGTCCTCAAAAAACCTTGGGGGGTCGCACCAGCCTCTCCTATGAGGGCGAGGGTTAATACTTTAATGGTCATGAAACTGAAGGTTTATTTGGCCTGTTTATAAATTTGCAGATCATTCAGCTCTCCCCTGTGCTGGCCCCCACAGTGATATTCTGAGCTAGGGGTCATGGCCATTGGGTCCTCCTGCTTGTGCCTGCATATGCATCCAGGCCTCAGCATATGCAGTGCATCCCAAAAAGGGAGTAATAATGCAGACCATAAATTCCTGCCTCCATCCAGCAAGGCATTCCAAAATTGCTTATAATCATCTCCCTACATTGCAGGTTTCAGCTAGCAATTACACCATCCACCAAGTATGAATATCCTGCCAAAGAAGCGCTGGCATGTGCGCACCAAGGAGAACATCGCGCGCGTGCGGCGCGATGAGGCGAACGCTGCCGCTGAGGAGAAGGAGAGGCTTCGCCGAGTGGCATTAGCGGTAAGTGAAGCATCATTGATTTTAGTATTGTTTCTACCAGTCGACCAAGGCAGGGGTGTTGTCCAAGGTGATTGATGTGGTCAGATAATGGCACAGTCAGCCGAAATGTGCCCGAATCATTCTCCAGCTGTCGGGATGTACGCACGATGTTTCCCACCGAAGCTTTCCAAATTGTACTATCTATCTGCAGTCTTGTCCTGCACTTCCCATCACATGACTCGATATACAAGTCAATATACAGCAATGGGTTCCTTCAAACATACTGTTTTTTGTTACTATTTATGGTGAGATGGGAGAAGAAGAAGTCATGCCAATGCGGTGTATTACCCTAGCCCGTCAATGTTACCCCGATCGTGAGGACCACACCAGGTAACGTAGGCTGATACTTCTGAGGCGTGTTAGTTTATCTGAACCAAGCGTTGGTGCCCGATTCCTATGCCTCTCGGCAAATTTTGGAGCTAGAGATGAACTTGTGCTCAGGTTGGCTACTCAGTTGATTTTATTTAGCATTCTTGCGCCGACTCATTGCGAGTTTATGACAAGTGTCATGATGATGACCCACGTGTGAAAGTTGTCAACATTTTGTGCTGTTACGTGCGTAAACACAGCAAATGCGTGTCCAAGACACGGTACGTCTTGCAAACATTTTGCGACATAATGTCACTAACAGACGACAGTTTGGCCGGAGATGTGTCGTACTACGCCACGCGACGTCAATACCACGGCGCATTCCCACATAGCATGCCCACGGCGGTGCGATCGACTACAGCTGAGGCCGGAGCGCTGCACGTGGTGCAGCGGTCACCGGCTGGGGCGCGGCGAAAGGGGCCGGGTTCTCTCGCCACGCCTTCATGGTCTACCAGCAGGCGCCTGACTGGTTGGCCAGCGGCACTGGGCATCAGTTCCGGAACGGGCGCATCCATTGGTTCGGCTGACAGGGAACGGTCAGCTGATACTTGGCCGACGAGAGCCGCGCCCGGAGGTTGTGCCTCCGCATCGTGCGGGCTGGCGAAAAGGCAGAGGAAAAATTGTTCGTTGAACTGGACGGGACAACTGAGGCGGATTAGCGCATTCACGGGCTATGCGTAGTGGATACCCTGCACCGAATACTCACCCGTGCAAACCATTCGGAAGGATTCTCTTCTGGCTAGCTGGAAAGCCACCTCGCGCGTTCTCATTTCGCAGACGGCGGCCGCAAGAGCCCAGCTTCCGCGGCGCACGTTCAGAGCTGGCCGAGTAGCTGTAGGCTCTCAGCTGGAGGCCGCTTACGCCCGTGAGCCAAATATTGAGCTGGACGGCATTAAATTATCAGATTCTGTCGCAGTTTGTGACTTCAGACGGACAAAAGGTTAAGCGACTGCCGATGCCGTGATCTACAGGAAGAATGCTGGACTCGTAACCCAGCGTCACGGCGCACCAGTCGCAGATCCGGCGCAAAAGTCGCCCCAACAAAATGCGCCGTTGAGACCAATACATCCTCGCCCAAGTACCGAATGGGACTGCAATGGGCGGGAAAGTGTATATGAATGGAAGACCGCCATCACAGAAAGAGCCCAAAACTGAGCACGCCGTTAAGCCTCCGTCCAAGTCTTATTCGCGGCTTCCGTGCTGGCGCTGGACACCGCCGCCAGTCCGGAAGCTGCTCTGTATGCCAGCGAGCCCAGCCAGCCAGCGGCGTCCCAGAGCGGCCGCAGCGCCGGCGGCGCCAGTTCCAGCTGCAGCAGCTGCCCGTTCAGCTCGTCGCGCAGCTGCAGCAGGGCGGCGCCAGCCAGCCGGCGATTGAGCGCGCGCACAAGCCGACCGAAGCGCCGCTGCAGCAGGGCGGCGAGCGAGTCGGGCAGCGGCGCCGCCGCCGCGTCTCGGCCAGTGACGCGCGGCGGCCGCGGCAACTCCAGCGCGGCCGCCAGCTGGTGCAGCTGCAGGCGCGGCCCGTCGGCCGTGCTGAGCAGTGCCAGCCGGCCGGCCAGTCTCAACAGCGCGCCGTCGGCCGTGGCGCGCAGGCGCAGCGGGCCGCGCCGCAGCAGGTAGCCGTCGCCGACGGCGTCCAGCTCGAGCGCTACGCCCGTCAGCGCTGCGGCCGCCGTTGCCGTGTCTCCCGACATCCAGACGCGCCGCAGTCGCAGCTGGCGCAGGCCGCGCACTGTCAGTTGGCTGAGGCGGAGGCCGGGCCCGAGCGCGGTCGGCGGCAGGTGCAGCACGTCCTCCGGTAGCAGCAGCGGCGCCAGCCGTGTCCAGGCGGTCGACAGCAGCGCGGCCAGCGCCGTCTCGAGCCAAGTGCGCGCTGGCCCGCCGCTCGGCTGCAGCATCGGCTCCAACGCGGCCGACGTCCAACCCCGGAGCACGTGCGGGTCCTCCGGTGAGGGCGCGCCGCCGTCCGACGCCGCCGCGTGGCTCGCGGCGCGGCCCTCGTCTCCGGCGGGGGGCCCGCTGCTGCGCTTTCCTGTTGGGGGGTCTGGCATCAGGCTCCCTTCGCACGAGAGTGCATGATCTTTGTAGTTTGTGCTTGTCCTCTCATCCGTAGCGTTGATGGTGTTTTGATTGTCCTTGGTGCAGTTGGTCTGCAGGTCTCTTGCGTACACCGGACACATGTTTGAAGCAACACTCAGAAGAATGAGCAGAGTGATACTGTAATCCATCTTGGTGATGCGTATGCTAGCGAATAAATATTTGGTGGGATGGTCTTGAGAGTCAGTTTTCGACTCATCTGTACTGCATCGCTGCAAAATATAGCTCTTAGAACGCTGCAGCGAGGCGGTCTGATTATACCCGTCGCAGGATTCCTCCCAGCTCACTGCAGCGACTCCGTCTAACTGCAGCTGTCGGTGAATCTTCCTATCCGCGCAGCACGGTGACCCAGTCGCATTGCACCCTTTGCAGAATTCCTTTCTTGGTGCTGTCTAACGACTCCGTTTGACTGCACTGCTGCAGGCCCTACTGCGTTTCCATGGCAACGATGTCGCTGGTCTACGCCTGTCTCAGGACCTCACACTCTGCGCACCTTGTTCACACCTTTCCTGCCCTGCGAGCACTTCAGCAATATCCTCCGGCTGTACTTCTCCCAAGATCTCGCTGTGCGCGGAAGGCGAGGTGCAGTCGGCAGATGCTTTGCCGCTCGCCCTGACAACGCCGCACTGCACCCTCTTACTGCACCCCCGCACTGCAGCCCCGCTCAGCTGGCGGACAGACGCGCCGCGGAGCGCGGCCTTCGTCACGCTGCAGCTCCGCCGTGCGTGTGGGCCATTGTGCGGGAGGTACTGGGGCGAGGATACCATGCCACTGACAAGGTTATCCGCCGTGCGCGTGACGGCAGCGCCGCGCTGGTGCGAAATGCGATGTTTGTCGCGAGTGCAGCCGGAAACTGTGCGTGATGTTGTCGAGATGTTCTCGCCAGTGGTGTTGTCGCGACTGCTGCGAGGTTTCCAGATATTCTGGGAATCCCTCGCAGGTCACACGCTACAGACGGCCAGCGTGAGGCTTACCTTTTGCCGTCCACGTGTTGTACATCGCAGTAGCTGACGCATGGGGAGTGCTACCGGCTAGTGCTTGGAGAAGCTTGAGGACGGCTGGAGGGGATGTCCAGTACTTCAGGCACGTAGTGAATGGAGAAACGTAGGACGACCGAAGGGGACGGCGAGTATTTCAGGCGCACATTTTTCTATGAATCGACAAGCGTAATCCGTGAAAATTTCCATTTCGCCGCGTTGAATTTCGAGATGATTGGGTGAGGCGTCCTCGCGGTGGTGTGTCCCCGCACCCATGCCGTATTGCCCTGCCCGTGTCACGACGTCGGCTCCCGCCGCGTGATCGCGCGTAACGGCAAGGTGGTGCACCCTCGGTCAGTGGCGCGTCCAGACACACCATCAGTCAGTGGTGGGCCGAGGCACACCCTCGATCATTGGTGGGCCCAGGCGCACCCTCGGTCAGTGGCGTGCCCAGGCACACCCTCGGTCAGCAGCGTGCCCAGGCATGCCCGCCCTAAGGTGGATGTGCCTGGTGGATGTCCACCCCGCCTAGAAGGCTTGGGTGGACCGCTCGCGACCGGTCCGTGCACGAGTCCCTCGCGGCGCAGGCAGAGTGCCGTGGTAACGGAGGACGTCTTGTCGGGTTTAATGCCGAGTGCGCTGGGCTGACTGGCGTCGGTTGTCTCCAGCCCGACGACGCGGGGTTGTCGGCGCTGCTGCCGAATGCCGCGTACCTCTACATGTCTAAACACGGGAGCTCCTGGAAGGACCGTGGCGTCGCCCACCTTCTGTTTCGATTTCCGTTTGGCCGCACAGGCTTTGAGTTCTTCACAGCGTGGTTCCTGGAAGGCGTGAAGGAGCTGCGCAAGAGGACAGCGGGCAGAAGACAGTATAGCTCCTGATGCTCGACATGTTTGGCCCTACTGTATTGGTATCTGACCTGGACCTGATTAAATATATTTTGATGTAGGAATTTGATCTTTTCACTTCCAGGGAACCGAGCTGTTTCCTCTGGAAGAATGATGTAGTCTCTAAGATGATAACCAGTCTGTCCGGTCTGGTCATCATCTCCCTTCGTCACCATCATTCCTCATCATCCTTCATCACCATCCCTCAGCATCCTTCTTCATCAGCCCCTTCCCATCTTTAAGTACCTGTGTGGGCTCCTGCCGAGTAGCTGCGATGCATATTGCGAGCGTGATTGATGTAGGCTTTACGACTAGATTCAACTACATTTTATTCGTAGATACGACGAAAGTGTCCCACACGCCCCCGCCTTCGCTTGGTGTCAGGCAGCGTAGACAGTCCCCGAAAATGGAGGACCTGAAGCTGCCTTCGGTTAATCTTTTTGTTCTAGCTATCGCACGCAACGCGTGAAAAATATTTTGAAAATACAAGTCATACACTAGGGTGCGTCTCCCATTTGTAGCACCTTAGTGAACTGTTGTCAGAAAATTTGTGTACATTCCAGAACTTATGATGCATATGTTGTACGCATGAATGGATGGAGCGCCACATGACCACGACAGGCGTCGCGCTCTGAAGCCCAAATGACGATCATCATCGCGCCATCTCCGTTATATTTAACAAAGCGCGACAGAAGTGTGCCACATGTCGCTAAACATGACGTTAAATATATTCAGTCGACGGTGTGAACGCGACCGAGTGGCCGAGAGCAGACATTATCCACGTACGCAACATTTATTACCATCAGACAAGAGAGTTGCTGAGCGTACGGGAGTGACGTAATCAGCTTTCAAGTGTAATTTTGTGCCGCTGCTGCCAATCTTTCATGCTGTCCGTACGACCATAAGGCCAGCTCATGCAGCGGAGACAGTCAGCGATTTAGTGGATCGGTTTGCCAAGGCACTTCAACGTTTGTACATGCGTTTCGAGCTGGCAGCAAGCTAGAGACCGAACTTAGCGTGGTGAGAAAATGAGATCTGGGGCTGCCCCACCAGGACAATGTCAATGGACACGAGCATTTGCATCGGTGACTCTCCACCCCAATCTGCAAACCAGATGACTTTAGTACCGGCTACTGCATAGGGCATTACCGACAGAACGCCTTCTTAAGATACGTGGTATATCGACCTGGTGCGTCGTAACGCCGGTCTGCCTTTTTATGGTCAGGCCAGGACAAGGCTAGCGGAGACCAAAGGCTTTCAGGCGTGGTTTTAGTTGTGTGTTGCTACATGAGTGGTTTCATTGTCGTCAACATGTGTGGTTTGCTCTTGCGTGCATCGGCTCCAGCCATTTTTGTCATTAGCGCCAGAGCCGAAAGTCATGTGGGTCGCATCGTTTCAACCTGTCATGTCAACATGTGCTTTGGCTTTTCTCCGCGAAGGCCAATTCGTCCCGCGGTGTGCTCTTCTGGCAGTATTGAAGCCGTTAGCGTGCGTTGCGTTTTGTATGGCAAATGAGGCTCCAGCATGAGACCGGTTGTAGAATGTTTGCATTGACTCACTTGCCTCCATGGCTTAAGGATTCGCGCTATCAGTCCGCCTTCGGCAATCTCGTTCGAGCGCCTCTATCGGAAAAGTGCTTTCTCGATCTCCATTTCTCGAGCCGTGCAGTCGCATCGCAGCGCTCCGCCGTCAAGTGCGCTGAAATCACCCTGTCCCGCGCCCTCTTGACGATAGAGTCTCACCGCGCAGGAACCAGTTAATTAAGTTGAGTTGGTCCCCCCCCCCACCCCCCACCCCCCCCGAGCGAAGATTTATCACTGAAATGAGTAGAAAGGATCAGTGCTATGGCCTGGAACCAGGCTTCGCCAAGTGAACCGTAATGGCAGTCGATGACTGACGCAACTGGGTTGGGTTTCGTGACAAATCTTCCCCGGGCACTCTTCTAGGCCACGCTGATTTAAGAGGCTCAGTACGATAAACATGCCCATGCCGTATCAGAAAATAACTGGCAAGCTCCGCGTACGACCTGAGATGATTTGAGCATTTCTACGTGACGAAACCGAGCAAAACACTTTTTCGTGGGAATCACAGTGCACGTTGTCCACACACACTGCAGGGACTACGCATTTATGGCCATTGCCAACCTGACATTTGCGGTGTCCTACAATGTAACCATACAGTGCTGGTACGCATACGCTCGGATAAGATTTTGAAGCATTTCAATTTATTGAAAAATGTGCGTTAGGCAAGGATGTAAGCAGTTGTCAGGATAGAAATATTTTCGCAATAGTCAGATTCTACTATTTGTTCTCACTATCTACGCGAGGGACGGAACTGAAAATAATCTATTTGCATTGCTGCGGAAAAACTGGACTTCGGTGTGCATTGTTGTTCTATGATTCTGGGCCGATATGTGGTGTCTGTGGTGAGCATGCCAAATCACCAAGTGTGTTTGCGCCCACTCATGTGCTGATGTCCGTCGCAGGAGCAAGAGTTTCGGACCACGCTGCTGCGAAACAAGGCCGCCGATCGACGCGCGGCGATCGGCGAGGCACCTGGCGGCGGGCGGGAGAAGCTCGAGGTCGACTTCGCCGCCACCGCCGCCGCCAAAGGGGAGGCGTCCATCGTCACCGGCTCAGGCCACATCAACTTCTTCCAGCACCTGGAGAGCGGCGAAAAGACGCGCGGCCCGAACGAAGAATATGTGCAGGAGCAGAAGGAGGAGCGTGAAAAGTATGAGAAGAGCATTGGCTACCTCACCTACCTGGGACAGGGTTCGCGAGAGGAAACAAAACAGAAGGCCTGGTTCGAGTCGCTGCCCACGGACCGAGCCCGCCACCGCCAGGAGGCCGACAGTGGCGAGGTCAAGAAGAAGGTCAAGGACTTCGAGGATCCGCTGAACGTGCTGAAAAAGAAGCTGGTCGACGACGCTAAGCGGGAGACGGCCGTGAAGCCGGCGCCGCTGCCGCCGCCCCGTCCCACTGACGTGAAGACGTCGACTGTCAGGCAGCTACGAGACCCAGGCAGCGATGGCGAGCTTCACTCCGAACGCAAGAAGCACAGGAAAGAGAAAAAGAAGAAGCACAAAAAGGAAAGAAAGAAGGAGAAGAAGGGCAGGGGGTCCGAGGAGCCGCGGTGGAAGGGCGTTAAACGAAGCCGCCGCCGCCGCCGCTCGTCGTCCAGCGACGCGTCGCCTTCGGAGGACGACGCCGAGGCCGAGGCGACGGCTGCGCGGGGCGTACAGCTGGAGCGGCTGCGTGCGGAGCGGCTGCTGCGCGAGCGAGCCGAGCGGGAGCGGGCGGACGCGCTGCTACGCCGGCTGCGCGGCGAGGCGGAGACGGCCGAGGCGAGCCGACCGCCGGCCGAGCCGCGGCTCACGCAGCGCTACAACGCCCAGTTCAACCCGTACCTGGCGCGGCAGAACTACCGCGAGCGCAGCGACGGCCGGCGGCGGCCGGACTAGCCGACACGCCGCGGTGGAGGCGCCGCCGGTCGGACGGAGCGCCGCCGTGCCGCGGCGTCCGGCCTGGCCAGCGTCGGAGCCCAGACAGCTGGGCTCTCCGCCAGAAGGTGGCTGAGTCGCGCAGTGGCTCAGTGTGGCGCTCGCCTCCCAAGCCTCAAAGAACCTGGCGGAGCTGCTCGTCAGGCGGTGGCTCCGAAGAAGCCTCAATGGCGTCAACCTGACGCAGCCCCCGACGTGGCGAATGCCGGTGATGAATCCGGGCTGGGGATGACGGAGGCATGGCGTCTGGAAATGCATGCAGGGAGGGTCTAGCTTGCTGGGCTCATTCATGGGCGCAAAATCCTGGCTAAAATGTCCCCAGTGGGACGGCCTACCAACAGCCGCGCCCGCTCTGGCACCCCGTGCAGTGAGAATAGCACGGCTTGGGGCGAAGACTGCGCGCGTGTTTGCGGTCATCGCGTGTCCGCCCGGGGCGCGTGGCCGGCGCCATTTCCACCAGTCATGCCGGTCACCCAGACGCCGTCTGCGGCGCCGGCCGGTCCAGGGCCGGCAGGCGAACTGCCGCCTCATCTGAGAGGACAGACCCGGGGTGGTGCAGCGTGCATGTGAGCCCTCCCAGCCGACCGCTGGCGGGTCGGTGGACCGGAAACCTCGGCACTGCTGCACGCCGCTCCACTGCGTGACGGACACGTCCTGAGGTGGGTATCCGAGACGGTGCGCTGCTCCACACTACGCAGGCATGTCACAGTATTGACGGCGTCCATGCTTGATTTGTGTAGCCCCTTACGTGTGCTACCAAACGCCTCTTCAGGTGGTTTCTTTCGCCCTGAATTTTCTCCGGGAGTGTGTACGAGGCGGATCGTGTAAATTATGCTCCATTTTTCCAGCTGTCGCTCCTGTCCGCCCCCTTCCGTCCTATCTGGTCTTTGTCCGTGTTCCTCAGACGTCTCGTTCCGCTTCTCTCTCTCTCTCTCTCTCTCTCTCTCTCTCTCTCTCTCTCTCTCTCTCTCTCTCTCTCTCTCTCTCTCTCTCTCTCTCTCTCTCTCTCTCTCTCTCTCTCTCTCTCTGTCTCTGTCTGTCTCTGTATGTCCTTGTCTCGTCTCTGTCTACTGTCTCTCTCGCTGTCTTGTCTCTCTCTGTCTTGTCTCTGTCTGTCTCTGTCTCTGTATCTGTCTCTGTCTCTGTCTCTGTCTCTGTCTCTGTCTCTGTCTCTGTCTGTCTGTCTCTGTCTCTGTCTCTGTCTCTGTCCTGTCTCTGTCTCCTGTCTGTCTCTGTCTATTTCTCTGTCTCTGTCTCTGTCTCTGTCTCTGTCTCTGTCTCTGTCTCTGTCTCTGGCTCTGTCTCTGTTCTGTCTCTGTCTCTGTCTCTGTCTCTGTCTCTGTCTCTGTCTCTGTCTCTGTCTCTGTCTCTGTCTCTGTATCTGTCTCTGTCTCTGTCTCTGTCTCTGTCTCTGTTCTGTCTTGTCTCTGTCTCTGTCTCTGTCTCTGTCTATGTCTCTGTCTCTGTCTCTGTCTCGGTCTTGTCTCTGTCTCTGTCTCTGTCTCTGTCTCTGTCTCTGTCTTGTCTCTGTCTCTGTCTCGTCTCTGTCTGTCTCTGTCTCTGTCTTGTCGCTGTCTCTGTCTGTCTTGTCTCTGTCTCTGTCTCTGTCTCTGTCTCTGTCTCTGTCTCTGTCTCTGTTCTGTCTCTGTCTCTGTCTCTGTCTCTGTCTCGGTCTTGTCTCTGTCTTGTCTCTGTCTCTGTCTCTGTCTCTGTCTATGTCTCTGTCTCTGTCTGTCTCTGTCTCTGTCTCTGTCTCTGTCTCTGTCTCTGTCTCTGTCTCTGTCTATGTCTCTGTCTCGTCTCTGTCTCTGTCTCTGTATCTGTCTCTGTCTCGTCTCTGTCTCTGTCTCTGTCTCTGTTCTGTCTCTGTCTCTGTCTCTGTCTCTGTCTGTCTCTGTCTCTGTCTTGTCTCTGTCTCTGTCTCTGTCTCGTCTCTGTCTCTGTCTCGTCTCTGTCTCTGTCTGTCTCTGTCTGCTCTGTCTCTGTCTCTGTATCTGTCTGTGTCTCTGTTCTGTCTCTGTCTCTGTCTCTGTCTCGTCTCTGTGCTCGTCTCTGTCTCTGTCTCTGTCTCTCTGTCTCTGTCCTCTGTCTCTGTCTCTCTGTCTCTGTCTCTGTCTCTGTCTCTGTCTCTGTCTATGTCTCTGTCTCTGTCTCTGTCTCTGTCTCTGTCTCGTCTCTGTCTCTGTCTCTGTCTCTGTTCTCTGTCTCTGTCTCTGTCTCTGTCTCTTGTCTCTGTCTCTGTCTCTGTCTCTGTCTCTGTCTCTGTCTCTGTCTCTGTCTCTGTCTCTGTCTCTGTCTCTGTCTCTGTCTCTGTCTCTCTCTCTGTCCTCTGTCTCTGTCTCTGTCTCTGTCTCTGTCTCTGGTCTCTGTCTCTGTCTCTGTCTCTGTCTCGTGTCGTCGGTCTCTGTCTCTGTCTCTGTCTCTGTCTCTGTCTCTGTCTCTGTCTCTGTCTCTGTCTCTGTCTCTGTCTCTGTCTCTGTCCTGTCTCTGTCTCTGTCTCTCTGCTCTCTCCTTCTCTCTCTCTCTCTCTCTCTCTCTCTCTCGTCTCTCTCTCTCTCTCTCTCTCTCTGTCTCTCTCTCTTTTATTAGTTTAATATCCTGATTATATTTTATTCTATAACTAACATGCATCATTATTTTGATATTTCTTACAAGGAATTCTTTAATATGCTTTCGCTCCTGTCCCCTCAGCGTTACACCCGTTCCGTCCGCTCGTAACACTGTCCTGCGTCCATCGGAAGTTCCGTTCCGTTTCGTTCTGTCCGGCCACTGTCGCTGTCCGCGGCCGTTTCTGCTTGTTCGTCGTCGCTCGCTGGCGGCGCGTTCCAGCCCAGCAGTCTGCCGCTGTTGCGTCCAGCCCCCTCCCCTCCGCCGCCGGACGTCCGGCACTGACCGAGTCCGGGCCGTATCCGGCCGAGCGCCTCCCGGCCGTGGTGCGTAAGGCGCGTGGTTGGACCAGACCGGCACTGGCCGAGTCTGGGCCGTTCCGGCCGAGCGCCTCCCGACCGTGGTGCGTAAGGCGCGTGGTTGGACCAGACTGGCCTGCAGCGGGGGCGTATTGTTCCCACGTCGTGATCGCGCCACGCGCGGTGGTCGCCGGCTTTACGGTCCAGCGCCCGGCTGCTGACGAAGGCAGATCACGTCTTCAGGGCATCGCCGTCGTGTTTGCGCCTCGGGATGATGATGATGGAGGACGGGCTGCTTTGTCAATCCCCATGCCGGTCTGGCGTTCATTTGGATATTTTTCATCCGCGTGGTGGTAATTTTTTTCGCAGTCTTTAAACGGCGTTAATGTATATATTTTTAGTGCATTGAGTGATGCTTTTTAGCTGTTCGTAGTGTTTGATCATTTGACTCCATTTTATCGTTAAGAAAGGCGGAAAAATGCGTTTCATATCACAACGTTCAGAACTCCTGTAATTTATGCCCTCCTAGGTGTCGCTTGTTCAGTTGGCGGGTCAAGTCTCTGCGAGAATCTTGATGCATTTGAGATGAAGTGGCTGCTACGTCCGAGGTGAAGGTGATGAACGACTGACCTGAATGTAAAGAGGAAGTATTGATAATGAGAGCCGAGGAGGGAGAACAGGAGCTGGCAAATCATCAGCTTTGTCCCTCCTTTTCTTCGTCATCTGCCGCTGGGATGCTGCGTGTCAGCGGGGTCATGCCCTCCGCTGACATCGATTCTCTTTGTAAATAGGTTTGGCGTTAGTTAACAGACACTGGCAGTGCGCCAGCGGTAAAACGGAAACTTGCCAGAAGACGTCACAGCGCTCCATCTGACGCGTCTTAATCGGATTATTATCTCGGTGTTGTCTCAAGTTTACATGTGACGTGTGTCCATCCCGGCCGTTAAAATGTCCAGTTGATATCGTCTTTGGACATGAAGGGAAGAAATCATGTTCGTACCTAATACGTTGCCATGCACTGCCAGCTCACTGAAGAGACTTACTTGTTGCGTTTGCTGCGCATTGGGATAGAAATTAATTGGGTATACCACTGCGTCAGGTTCCGGCAGAAGTAACCTTGTGTCCTGAAAACATCGTTTATCAGAACTAGTCCGAGTGCTGCCTGTCCGTGGCGTTTGGGTACCGCTCGGGAAACAAGCACACTCGGGGCCTATGATGGTTCATGTTCTGCAAGCAGCGCCTGTGCTCTGGTGGGATAGAGGGTGTGTGCTGATTGGTCAAGTCCCCATGGGAGGTGTACGGTAAAAGTGGACCCATCCGCCTCTTTATATTCGACGGACGGTCAGTCGACAGGTCTGTGTGCGCAGTTTATTCGACAGGCGGCCAGTCGACAGGTCTGTGTGCGCAGCTCATTCGACGGACGGTCAGTCGACAGGTCTGTGTGCGCAGTTTATTCGACAGGCGGCCAGTCGACAGGTCTGTGTGCGCAGCTTATTCGACGGACGGTCAGTCGACAGGTCTGTGTGCGCAGTTTATTCGACAGGCGGCCAGTCGCCAGGTCTGTGTGCGCAGCTTATTCGACGGACGGCCAGTCGACAGGTGTATGTACGCAGCTATCCAGCAGACGGGCAGTCGACAGGTCTGTGTGCGCAGCTTATTCAGCAGGCGGGCAGCTCGCAGCGCGGACCAATTTGCGTTCAGCCTCAGTCCTTCTGTTATTTTTTACACGCGGTCTGTACCCTTCCCTCTGGACCAGTGACGTGTTTCCTGCGATACATTCTTCGGAGGTTTTCACGTTTCTTCTGTGGGTTCGTTCTCGAGGCTGTTTGGAATTTCTAGCGGTGCATTCGTACGCTGTAATCCTTTCACACCCGTCTCAGTGTGAGTATCTCATGTCTTCTATTATTGGTCTGGGGCTTGTTGTACACTGGCGAACAAATTATTCTGAAGAACGCACTTATCACACCAATTTTTACTGAAAAACATACTAATCATACCAAATTTAGAACTCTGTGTTCTGCATGGCAGAATCTGAAC